CCCCCCCCCCCCCTCCCTCATCGCTTAGACGCGCTGTTCTACGGTGCCGCCACTGCTACCATCTTCAACTTGTCGTGTTTGTTCATCGTGATTTGTTTTTTTACGACAACCTACGTGCTGCTGCTGCTCTTGACCGGCGTACACACGCGCACACCCGACCCGTCGCGATGACCATGACCATGACCGTGGCCATCACCTACCAGTCCATCTCGTCTGTAGACATGAGCTATGATCTGGGCACGAAGCCGAACCGCGAGGCCGGACCGATCGAGCGCGTGGTTCTCCAGGAACGACTCGACGAGGACGAAGATGGCGACGTCGAAGGGGGGCCCGCGGAACGGGGGCCCGCGGAAGAGGGGTTGAAGGGGGAGGGAGAGGAGGTCGGCTTGCTGGACATGGCGGAACAGGGCTGGGAGGAGGGCGTGGACCGGCCGGCGGACGACGGTAGCGGCGGCGGCGGGGGCGACTTTTCAATCACGGAGACGAGGACCGCGGGCAGCGACGACGGCGGTACCGGCGTCGGCCTGCGCGTCGACAGGAATAGCGCCGCGGCTGCCATGGCCGAGGCGGAGGTGCGGACGGACGCGGCGCGGTCGTCGCAGTTCGGCGCGATGGAGGGCAGCGGTGGCAGAGGTGAACCAGGAGGAACGATGGCAACGGGAGGGAGGAGGAAGTTGGAGGAGGGGGTCGAGGGCGGCGGGGTAGAGGTGGTCTCGAGGCTGGAGTACGCCGGCAACGGTAAAAAGGCGATGCAGCAGTACCAGGAGGAGTACTGGGGGAAGGGCCACCAGGCGGGCGAGGGCGGCAGCGGCGGTGGGTCGGCGGGCGGGGCCGGTTGGGGAACAGTCGTCCGGCCGTCCATGGCCCCGCGGCTCTCCGTGGACCTCATCAACGTCGATCCCGTCAAGGAGCTGGTCAAGATGGTGAGCAGCGTCACGCGTTGTCTGGGGTTTCCGGCGCTTGTTTTTGTTCCATCATGGGCAACAGACCTGTCTAATGGTTGGGCAGGCCTATGTAGTGGTTGATCGTGTTGGTGGTCTGCTGCTGCTTGTGTGCTGCGAACGGTATCATGTCTATTGGTATGCCTTCCTGTCCCTTCTACGCCCGGTGTTTTCCATACAACCCGCGCCTTATTTTGCTCTAACTTGGAAACGAAAAACACGAGCACACACAACTAAACCCTCCCCACCCCTTCCCTGCCCTGCCGAATTGGTAATCCCGAACAAAACTTTACGACGGCAACAACAGACGGCGCAACAGACGCTCCACACCATGAGGGCTAAGTCCCTCCACTACCGTAGGGCGAGGGGGGCCGGCTACGGCACGGCCGCGGTGTCGAGCAACCACACCCCTCCGAAAGGAGGAGGCGGTGGCGGCGGCAGCATCAACAGCAACGACCTGTCACTGAACAGCAGCGGAAGGGTCGGCGGCGGCGTTGGCAATGGTCTCTCGCCGAAGTCGACGCCAGGCGCGGAACCAAACCCGACCGACGGCAGCTGGTGGAGGCATTGCTGGGGTCGGGATAGGGCGGGNCGAGATGGCGTCACTGCTGCCACCGGCCCAACAGCAGCAGCAGCAGGACGACTATCAGCACTACCGGCAGCGTAGGCCGATGACGAAGAAGGGCAAGGGCTACTCTTCGCGGGCCTTCGTAACGTTTCGGTCTTTCGGGGCGGCTACCGTGGCCAGGCAGGTGTTGCACTGCGCCAGGCCCGGAAGGATGGCGGCGAGCTCGGCGCCCGAGCCCCGCGATGTGTACTGGCCGAACGCGAATGTGACTCGCCGGCAGGTGTGTGTATTGGTCGGGGCGGTTGAGGAGGGTGGGTAAGGTTTGATGTTGTTGTTGTTGTTGTTGTTGTTGTTGTTGTTGTTGTTGTTGTTGTTGTTGTTGTTGTTGTTGTTGTTGTTGTTGTTTGTTGTTATCATTGGTGTTGTCGTCGTCGTCGTTGTTGTTGATGTTGTTGGAGTTGGAGTTGTTCATGATGTTGTTGCGGTTGGTGTCGATGTAATTTTCACCTTGTTAAGCCCGGCCCCCTAGCCTCGCCCCCCCCCGGTGTTTACCATCGGGGTTGGGTTTTCGTCGCTTGGCAACGACGTTGTAAAACAAGCCGCCCCTCCCGGTGTTTGCCATCGGGGTTGGGTTTTCGTCGCTTGGCAACGACGTTGTAAAACAAGCCGCCGCCCCC